CCCCCGCACTGAAATGGGCGAGACAGAAGTGGAAAGAGGTTCTTCAAGAGACAGAGGCCAATTTCAAGCCATTTAGAAGAGGAAGTAATGAGAAGATACGTTTATTTTCTATTTAAACATAAAAACATCATTTTAATAACAACTAAAGGTGACATAGATACTTTATTATGGTATAGTATTTAAATATATGCCTGAGACACACATAATACTGCCCCTTTAACATACTTAAAATTTCTGAACAGTTATGCAAACCATATTATCTAACTCTTTACACTGCCATCAGTTTCACATGACATGGTGGTTTTTAGCACAAATATTAAGATAATCTTGATGAAAGTGGCCCCAAGCTAAACAGGAAGTAAAACAGCCAGCTGCGGCTGCTTTTAGCGCTTAATTAAACAATCATAAATTGCATGCAAGTATATGTGTAATCTGAAACTGACAGCTGTGTGAAGCTCTGTAAAATACCTGTAATATCAAAATGCTGTTATCTCAACAAGGTATTATTTGTTAACGTTTTTAAAATGCCCATAGCAAAATGTCAGAAATATATCTTTAAGATATTTTACTGTTATATTTGAAGATGAATATTTAAGGAAAGGCCAAGCATTTCTTGAAAGGACACCTTTCATAACAGCATCTTAAACCACGTGTCAAACTTAAGGCCCGCGGGCCACATCTGGCTAACTTCTGTCCAATGAGGTCTGAGGTAGAGTTTGGATAGGGACTAAAAAAAAAATCAGACCCAGCCGGAGCCCGAAGACAGTGTGTCCAAACCCAATTCAACCTGAATAATTAATTGTGATTAGAGCCTGAAGTAAATGCTGCTGGTACCATCCGATACCATCCAACCCGACAGCAGGAGCCGGTGTTAAATTAGCGAGATGAGCAGCTTCAAAGAGCTCATGGACATGCAGCTGATATCCACATCCTTTTTTTCATCTCCACCCTGCAGTAAACTCTGCCCCCCACAACTCCAGTGTGAAAACTGAACACCTGCTGGAAGAAATTATGATGAATTGTTCCCTGCAACAAAATATTTCAGTTATGGACCTTATAGCCTACAAGAAAATATTAACATTTATTGTGTTTAAAAAAATGGTCAGAATTTACTTCTGTGTAAATAGGTCTACAAGTCCCCAATTTATGAATGATTTTTGGGGTTCCTTTTTTATACATGCATAAATAACTTACAGTAAGCTTTTAGGATTATAAATCTAAACTCTAGTGTAAGGTATGAGGATATATATCATATCCAAGGAGTTTATATTAGAAAAACTGGAGTGCTCAGAAACCAGGTGACCATGTGATCGGCTGGTGAAGCTAACGGCTAACACAAAACGGTCAAGACTCTGGATTTCACATTACTGTACATGTTGACAACAGAGCAGAAAAAAAGGACTGATGATGTAGAAATCATAAAAACTATTAATAATAATATTAACACAATTATTATTAATTTTTTACAGTTTATAT